TTAGCGGTACGCAGGCCTCTCGCTGCTGTGGCCTCTCCCGTTGCGGAGCACAGGCTCCGGACGCGCAGGCTCAGCGGCCATGGCTCACGGGCCCAGCCGCTCCGCGGCATGTGGGATCTTCCCGGACCGGGGCACGAACCCGCGTCCCCCGCATTGGCAGGCGGACTCCCAACCACTGCGCCACCGGGGAAGCCCCAGAGGTTTCTTAAATGTGGGCTTTCTCGGAGAGTTTAATAAGCTACTGTACCTTCTGCATCTCCAAGAGAGGTTTTCCCATCTAGCATGTCCCGAACTTATTGATCATTGTCATAGACATTTATCCTTTTCTGCTCTTCAACAAGCAACTCACATCCTCTTACTGTTGGGAGATCTCCTAGTATGTAGGCTCGGTTGGGGCTACTACAGAGGAAGGAGTAGATCTTTCCTCTCCTCCCGGGCCCCGCAGTCTCGCGTGGGTCAAGTACCGGATGTGTTTATATGGACTTGGGTCCCCGAGTGAGTTAAAGATGGCAGTGCTGGTGGCATCTTGGCCAGACTGTTGCTCTTAAACGCTGGCATCATTCTTCCAGCTTTTGGCTCTCTGTTACTATCTTTGGTTCCTGTCTGTTTTCTGAGCTTGTACTTCTCTTCTCCATTATCTGAGTTCTTAATATCCTTCCTTTTTTGTTTCAGTCAACAAAGTCAGTTTTCATCATTTTTCAACTGAAAAGATTCCTAACTGATGGAACCTGTGGGATCAGTTGGGAACTGCTGGTTGAAAGCATTGCTTTTTGCTCTCATGTGTGGGCTTACATTTTGTATTATTCACTTCCTTTCCTCCCCAAGCTTTTTCAGGAGAGGAACAGCCTATTTACTGCCATTACATTCCCCGCACCGTTTAGCACAGTGCCTGTACTGAGGAAACACTAAGTGGAGAGGTTGTAGGACTTGCATGTGGGCACTTCGTTCCACCAATGATTTATGATCATCTAGCTATGTAACTGCAGCCACCAACTGCTGCTAAGCCATTGAGGCTGATAACGAAGTGATTATGGGCATCCTGGGAACAAGTGGAGCTGAAATAGCCAACCGAGGACTGGACGAAACAGTATTTTAGGTGCCACAATAAACGATTGGGTTCTCCTTTCAGTGTCCAGAGTAACCTGCTGACAATAGCTAATAAAGCGAGGAGTATAATTGACAGAAATAGGCAGCTGATTACTAAAGAGCAGCAATAGTTGAGAAATGGCTGATGTCTCAAGGAGGGATGAAGGATGAAAAGAAAGTGAGGAAGCTTTAAAATCCTGATGTGGCACTGCTGTGCAAAGCCAGGTGCAGGAACGCACACACCTTGTCACGTGAACCCGAACTATCTTCGGGTGTGATGATGTATCCTGAAAGAGTGGTATAACCCATGTAGCTGGGGCTGCGAGACCGCCTGACGGAAGAGGAGTGTAAGCAGAGAATAGACAAGACTGGTGCAGAGGAAACCAATTGGCAGATCAAGTTGGCCTTCAACTTGGTGCCAGCAGTCTAACAAGTATTTCAGAATGCATAGTAAACTCATCACTCACCTGGGCCTGGGTTGCTAACCTGAAGAATGCTCTGGTTGGTGAATGTATGTGGGTTGGGACTTAGAGATTTAGGATCAGAGTTGCTGTGGGGAGATACCATAGTAGCAGGGCTTTGTGAGCTGTGGCAATATATGCGGCTAGGTTGCTGCTGTTTTAGTTTCTGGACTGTCCATCTGGATTCTAAGGACTGCGCTTACACAGTAGAATGTTAGAAGAGTTGGCTAATGCCCAGTGGGGGCATGGATGCCTGGAGGGCTCACCCAGGGTTTACTGGATGCTAGACTAGACCTTGGGAAGAAGACTCATTCCAGACCCCACCTGCTGGAAAGGATGATGCTCCCAGCACAGTCTCTATCTTGTATCTTTATGGCTTAGGACCTGGGCAAGGCTGAGTCTCCTCACTTATGTAAATTGAATATCTTCTTAGCTTGGCTGGATCTGGCATATATTGACCTTCAGGGCTCCTTTTTTTTCAATTTTTTTTTTAACAGAGCTAACCGAGGCTAAGGTTGAAAGACTAGACATGATGAACTTGGTACTTCACCAGTTTCAGTGTCTGAGGTAAAAGATAAATTTCCCGTGATGCAAGGGGTTTATTGAGCACCTATTTCTGAGCTAGGCACTTGTAACTGATTCCTGGGAAGTTGCAAATTAGAATTGAAAATAAACAAGACAGAAATAATAGACATCTGGGTGCCTACAATAGGAAGGGGTTCTCAGTAATAGACTCTGGGATTAAAAATGTACTGCACAAGAAAGGGGTGGGGTGGGAGGAATTGGGAGACTGGGATTGACACATATACATTATTGATACTACATATAAAATAGACAACTGATGGGAACATACTGTATAGCACAGGGAACTCTACCTCATGCACTGTGGTAACCTAAATGGGAGGGAAGTCCAAAAGGGAGGTCGATATCTGTATGTGTATGGCTGATTCATTGTGTTGTGCAGTGGAGGCTAACACGACCTTGTAAAGCAACCATACTCCAATAGAAGTTAATTAAAAAAATGAACTGCAAAAAAAAAAAAAATGTACTGCACAAGTGCATATGAAGAAATGACTGGCGACAACACTAAGGCAGAAATTTGGGTGGTACAATTAAATGTAAAAACCCAGAACGAATGAGAAGTAAAAACACGGGAAGTTTATTTTTTTCCAAATTTGGGCAGGTCTCTAATGAATTAACACAATTGATTTTTCTCCATTGAGAACAAAGGTGAAATCAAAATACAGCATAAACCTCCTTTCGTGGAGTTGTCATTAGTGTTACGTGTTTTAGGAATATTGTACAGAAGTAGAGGAATGTCCCTGCAGACAAATGGAAGTGATGGAAAGGCTACGAAGTACATTTGCAGGGAAAATGATCTCTGTCCCCACTGAGACTTAAATAGGAAAAATAAGAATAATAAAAAATTGTGAGAGGAGTATTTGAGAACAAACTTATAACTGAAAGAAGGGCCTGAAAGCCACCAAAATGGCATACTAAGAGGAACACTGGGGTTTTCGTCTCAGGAGAGTTTTCGGAAAGGAGTATCATCACCTTCCAATTGTGGCTTCACGTCTGTTCTCCCCAAAGGCCCGTGTACTCGAAACCCCTCCTGGCCCCGTAAGAGAAGCTTCTGTGATCCTGATGAGATTGTGTGCCTTAGAATCACTTCTCCTGGAAAAAAAGACGCTAAAGGGTACTCGAATAAAATATTAAAAATGGTGAAGGACGTAACAAAGGCCAGTCAGTCCTTTCTTCTCCCCAGACCCCATAATAGGAGAACAAGGGTTATTTGATGAAATTAAGGAGTAGCAAATAAAGTGCTAATAAAATGGGATAGTCACTTATATAATTCATTACCATGGGAGATCACAGAGGCAAATTCTGTGGCTGGATTAACTATGGGGCTGGATGATTTTATGACCACTAAAGATATTTTTAGCAGTGATACTGTGGGAGAAGTAATCCTGTTACATTCTCCCAGAGATGGTTTGCAGGGACCTCTCTGTCAAGTGGTGTCTGAAACGTGTGAGAGCAGGCCTCGTGGGTTCTAACCTTTGGTGAGGAGTTGTACTAAAAATTAGTTTTTAAGGGGAATGTCCTCAGGTATTCAATTCCTGTCTCAGTCCCAACTTCTCTTGTGGAGATCCAAAAGCCTTTAATCAGAAGCAATTGGGGTACAGAGTTTCATTATACAAGATGAGGAATTCCTGGAGATCTTTTGTATGGCAATGTGACTATGGTTAACAGTGCTCTGTTGTATACTTTAAATTTGCTAAGAGAGTAGATCTTAAATGTTCTCAGCATACATAAAAAGCAAAAAGAAAAAAGGATACAGTAAATGTGTGAAGCAATAGATAAGGTTAATTAGCTTGACTATGGTGATTATTTCACAGTGTGTACATTTATCAGGACATACACCTTAAATATATACTGTTTTTATTTGTCAACTATACCTCAACCAGGCTGGGGGGAAAAAGTAAGCAGTAAAAAAAAAAAAAAACAAAAGAAGAAGCAATTTGGAAAGATATCGCCCAGATCATTTCTGGTCTTTGGGAACCCTTAGTTTATTTCTTGAATGCCACCCGTGTGTCAGGTACCTTGCTTGGAGTTTTAAAAATCTGTTGGGAATACGAACATCTGGACAAATCAGTGCCATTCAGAAGGCATTAAAGATGGACTGTAAGTATTGAAAGCATGGAAGCACAAAGAAGCAAAGGAATAGCTCAGCCTGTGTAGTTCAGGGAAGGTTCACAGAGAAGGTGGCAAATGAACTGTCAGGATAACGGAGGGCATTCTAGGCGGAGGGAGCAAACAGCACACACAGGTCCAGAGACAGAACACGTGATGTGTCAGTGAACTCCCAGGAGTTTAGGAAGGCTATGCCTCAGGGTTAGTGGGGGTGGAGAGGGAGAAAATGGCACGTGAGGGCGGATGGAGCCCGATGGTGAAGAGTCCGGGGATGGCCTGAGACCTCCCTCCTGCAGCAGGGCCTGGGGGTGGGGAGGGGAGCTTCTAGGAGGTGTCATGTGACTGATTAAGGACCACCCCTCAAAGCCTTGCCCTACTGCCTAGGCCTCCCTCTTTTGGCCACTGTCAGCAGTGGCTTGGCGGTCAGCCTTGTATTTCACGCCACTCCTTACTTCAGTGATTTTGACTGTTGGCAGGGAAACAGTCTTTACCAGGAACCTAATCACCATTATCAGTAGTTTTTTTTTTAAAAAAAAAGCCTCTCCAGCATTTGGGTAGAGAGGGCTTGTTACAGGTCTTAGATAAATTGGGATGAGTCTCGCGTGTCTGCCTGGTCTGACTCTCTTGGGCTCTACCTAGACCCAAATCAGTCTTTGGATGGAGAAGAGGCAGATTTCATGTCCCTGACCGTAGACTCTCCCATTTTCTCTGTGAAGCTGGGGCAGCAGACAAGCTGGACAACATACAACGTCTTCAAGGAGCAGATGGATTGAAACATTAAAAATCTGTTTTGTTACAAGATTTTGACTAACAAAATAATTTAACCAGAAAAAAAAGCGCTCAAACTTTGTTCCTTCTTCAGTGATACTTATTTATTTATTTTATTTTTAAGTTTTTAAATTCTTTTTTTTTTTTGGCCACACTGCCCAGCTTGTGGGATCTCAGTTCCTTGACCAGGGATTGAACCTGGGCCATGGCAGTGAAAGCTGGGAATCCTAACCACTAGGCCACCGGGGAACTCCCATTCTTCAGTGATATAAGAATATCATTATTAATCACTCAGACTCTAATTTGGAATTTCTATACCGTTAATATTGATAAGAATTGAATGAAAATGAGAGAATGTCTTTTGTAGAAACTGGTTTTCTTGGTGGTCTTATCTTTGAGGTGGATGCAAATACTTTATTACTATTATGATACGTGTTGTTACATAGTACAGTATGCATTCAGCAGTTTTCTCCATCACGTTATAAAGAATTGTATAATTGTGACATGTTTCCTAATGAATCACCTTTCCCACAGCAGTTTTTTTTTTTCTTTTTTTAAATAAATTATTTATTTATTTTTGGCTGCATTGGGTCTTCGTTGCGGCGCGCGGGCTTCTCTTGTTGCGGAGCACGGGCTCTAGGCGCGCGGGCTTCAGTAGCTGTGGCTCACGGGCTCTAGAGCGCAGGCTCAGTAGTTGTGGCGCACGGGCTTAGTTGCTCTGCGGCATGTGGGATCTTCGCGGACCAGGGTTTGAACCCGTGTCCCCTGCCTTGGCAGGTGGATTCTTAACCACTGTGCCACCAGGGAAGCCCCAGTGCACTAATTTCTAATACACTTTGAAAAATTCTCCTTTGAGGAAAGAATGAGCTGTATACCTATCAGCATCTAGTAGTTATTAATTTTATCAGCAAGGAGGTAGTGATCAAGGATTCCTTTAACCCCCAATATTAACTCACCTATGTGTTTATTAACCATTCATTCTCCTGGACTGGACACTCACAAATAAGTCTCTGCTGGCAGAAGTGAGGCCCGTGGCATGAGTAGCACATTTTCCTCCGTTGTTAGACATATCTGTGTAATGAATCAGTACAGGTTCTCCTAGTTCCAAATGTACTTGATTTTACAAGAAGTAGGCCTTTTCATGGCTGGGCTTCCTTCAACGAGGTTATTTATTTGTAGTTCCGCAAAAAAGAAATATAAGGCTTAAAAGAGCTTTACTACTTAGTGATAAATCTATCCTTTCAAGGACCATGTAAAAGCAGGTGAATATGTTTAATAAAACTTTTAAAGTGTTCTTCTTTTGCCTTTAGACCTTAGCTGGATCTCCAAAATACAAGTGAATCAACCGGCAGTTCTGAGGCGTGCAGAACAAATCCAGGCCCGCAGACCTGTGAAAAAGGAGTGGCAGGTAAGGGTTCTTCTTGAGAATTCTCTCCCTGTAGTTTACAGCCCTGGTCTCTTCTCTCAAGGCCACGAGATTGAATTTTGCTCAAGATGCATCTAAACTTAAAAGATTGCAGCTGTCCATGACTTATTTTAATAATTCATATATGATGATGATGGGTTGGAGAAAGATAACACATTTATCCAAACAAGTTAAAAATCTTATCACTCTTGAGTGGCAAAGCCACAAATGAATTTGAGGCATCTTTATTCATGAGTGAATTAAATGGCATATTTTATCAATGTATTTATTCAGTTTCTTAGACATACCTTCTTTGGTTGGCTTCTATTTTAATTTTAAAACCGTAACACCTAAACCTGGTGTGTCCGCTGTTGAGGCCCTGAGGTATGAGTTGACCTTCTTTGACTATCATGTTTACCATACTAATTAATTTTCCTAAATCATTTTTCAAAATTCGAAAAATGATGTTTCATAGAGTACTTGTGGTCAGCATATTCTTCAGTGTGTACCAACGAAAGATGTGCTATGCATCTCAGGACGAAAAGGAATTCAGAGTTTATTTCACAAGTGATTGAATCCTTTAGGATGACAGGTCACATTTTGCTCATCCTTAGAAATAATCTGATTGAAAAGATAAAAGGAATTCATCAGAATGAGTTGTGAAGTGTGAATATTGTTTAAAAATTATAATTGGATTAAATTGGGGGAAAAAAAAAAAGCAAAGAAGTTGGAGACTCTTTTTACAGTGTCTCATTCCAGACCCCAGGCTGGAGGTAAAATGTATGATAGACTCTTGTTCCCAAGTTCTCCCCTAGCGGGTGGCCCTCTGAGGCTCCTTGTGAATGAAATGGAAAAGTCACATGTGGGGAGACTTGATCTATTAGGGATTTCAATTTGGGTTACCTATGGGAGAAGAACCATTTATAAGCTATTTTCTCCCCTTTTATTTTATTCTATGTAACATTCATCTTTTTGGTCATTCTTGAGCATATATCAGAACATATGCCTTAGAACAGCATAGACAAGAGATTTTAGCACCCATATGTGCCTAATGGTTCTTTACTAACTAACTGGGTTGGAGATTAATTATTTTTTTAAACCTTGTTTTTTAACTTTTCTTCAAACCAGGCTGCTTGGCTCCTGAAAGCTGTTACCTTTATAGATCTTACTACACTTTCAGGCGACGACACATCTTCCAACATTCAAAGGCTCTGTTATAAAGCCAAGTATCCAATCCGAGAAGATCTCTTAAAAGCTTTAAATATGCACGATAAAGGTAATGTGTACAGTCTGTCTGGTGTTTACCTTTTTTATAATAACAGTCACTAAATCTAAGGGGACTTAAGATTCAGCTGTTAAAATGATGGTAGCAATAAAATCCATGATAGAATTGTGTACATAGAGAAATACTTGAGATTCTTCTCTGAAAAACAGCAGAGGAAGGATCTGAGTCTCATTTTTAGGTCAGTTCTTTCCCATCATGGATTAAAGTTGCAAGTATTGAGTTTATTTTTCTTTCTAGTTCTTCAGTTTTGGAAGTTTTCTATCTAGTGACTCTCAAATACTGATTCTGATTCCCTAGCCACATATGAAAAAGCCAGTCTCATTACTTAATAATCACACCTCATACATAAAGTATTTTCTGTGAGTAAATGAAATGCTTTTGAGAATAAAATACAAATGGGATATATTGCAAGCTTGTATATTAGGTTAGATCTTTTGAAAAAAAGTTATGCTCACTCTCTTCGTATACATGAAAGAAAAGACTTTCTAAAGTTGCCGTAAGTTCAGAACCTTAACATTTTAGAAGTGGAGGGGATTTAAGAGTCGATGCCCTTGTTTCTAAATGAGGAAACTGGAGACCTGGAAGGTGAAATGGTATTTCCAGGACAATGTGTGTTGTTACTCAATGGGCTTGTTTTAGGAATCAGATCTAAACCATGAAGGGATCCTTCATGGTTTCCAGGTGCCTGTCTATAGTGAATGCAGCTAGAGATGCTGCATTGGCCCAATGCAGGTGTTTTATCCCAAATAGTTTGTAGATAACTTATAGACCTAAACAAACCTACAGCTTTTGAAAAGTAGTATTTTTCTTTTGAGTTGACAATAAAACACCTACCATTTATACCACTTAAAAGCAACAACTTTATATGAGTCTTATGCTGTTGTTTTACAGTGGCTATTTGATTTTTCAGTTTAAGATCTTACTCCTCAAAATGAGGGCTTCAGATCCAGATTTTATTATTTTCTGCAGAAGAGGGAACAGAATTAGTTAAATGTCATTTTGCTAAGCAGGTGTAACTTGTTTTATTGCACTTTGCAGATACTATGTGTTTTACAAATTGAAGGTTTGTGGCAGCCCTGCGTTGAGCAAGTTTATCGGCGCTGTTTTTCCAACAGCGTTTGCTCACTTTATGTCTCTGTCACATTTTGATGATTCTTGCAGTATTTCAGACTTTTTTTTTTTTTTTTTTGCTGTACGCGGGCTTCTCACTGTTGTGGCCTCTCCCGTTGCGGAGCACAGGCTCCGGATGCGCAGGCTCAGCGGCCATGGCCCACGGGCCCAGCCGCTCCGCGGCATGTGGGATCTTCCTGGACCAGGGCACGAACCTGTGTCCCCTGCATCGGCAGGCGGACTCCCAACCACTGTGCCACCAGGCAAGCCCCTCAGACTTTTTCATCATTGTTATATTATGGTGATCTTTGATCAGTGATGTTTGATGTTACCATTGTAATTCTTTGGCATTTTTTAGCAATAAAATATTTTTAAATTAAGGTATGTAGTTTTTTTAGACATAATGCTATTGCACAATTAATAGACTACAGTATAGTATAAACGTAACTTTTATATGCACTAGGAAACCAAAAAATTCCCACGACTCACTTTATTGCGATATTCGCTCTATTGCGGTGGTCTGGAACTGAACCCGCACTATCTCCAGGGTCTGCCTGTACTACCCTGTAAGGTTCACTTACATTTTTCTTCATCTGCTGTCCTGTTTGAATGCTGTAAAAACCTGGATTTTATTATCTGCATGAAATAAAACAGTTTCATTGGATCAAGGCCACCAAGTTTACTATTTAGGAATTTTTTTACCAATGGCACTATGTTAACCTCCAAGAACAATGTATCAAAAGTATGTTATTCCAGTGCTTGCTTTGGCAGCACATATACTAAAATTGGAACGATACAGAGATTAGGATGGCCCCTGTGCAAGGATGACACGCAAATTCGTGAAGCGTTGCATATTTTTTTTAAAAAAAGAGTCAAACATAAAACATGACACCATAAAACTCCTAGAAGAGAGCATAGGCAAAATATTTTCTGACATAAATTGTACCAATGTTTTCTTATGACAATCTCCCAAGGCAATAGAAATAAAAACAAAAATAGACAAATGGGACCTGATCAAACTTGCAGGCTTTTGCACAGCAAAAGAAACCATAAAAACAACAAAAACAAGCAAAACGAAAACCAAAAGGCATCCTATGGAATGAGAGAAAATATTTGCAAATGATGCAACAGACAAGGGCTTAATCTCCAAGATATACAAACAGCTCATACAACGCAACAACAGAAAAACAAACAACCCAATTGAAAAATGGGCAGAAGACCTTAATAGACATTTCTCCAAAGAAGACATACAGATGGCCAGTAGGCACATGAAAAGATGCTCACCATCACTAATTATTAGAGAAATGCACATCAGAACTACAATGAGGTATCACCTCACACCAGTCACACCAGCCTTCTTCAAAAAGTGTACGCATAACAAATGCTAGAGAGGGTGTGGAGAAAAGGGAGCCCTCCTACACTGTTGGTGGGAATGTAAGTTGGTGCAGCCACTATGGAAAACAGTGTGGAGGTTCCTCAGAAAACTAAAAATAGAATTATTTTATTCCCACTACTGGGCATATACCCAGACAAAACTATAATTCAAAAAGGTACATGCATCCCTATGTTCATAGCAGCACTATTCACAATAACCAAAACATGGAAACAACCAAAATGTCCATTGACAGATGAATGGATAAAGAAGATGTGGTATATATATACAATGGAACACCACTCAGGCATAAAAAAGAACAAAATAATGCCATTTGCAGCAATGTGGATGCAACTAGAGATTATCATTCTAAGTTAGAAAGACAGATATTACGTGACATCACTTATATGTGGAATCTAAAATATGGCACAGATGAACCTATCTACAAGACAGAAACAGACTCACAGACATAGAGCACAGACTTGGGGTTGCCAAGTGGGAGGGGATGGGGGAGGGAAGGATTGGGAGTTTGGGATTAACAGATGTAAACTATTATATATAAGATGGATAAATAACAAGGTCCTACTTTATAACACAGGGAACTATATTTAATATCCTGTGATAAACCGTAATGGAAAAGAGTATTAAAAAAAAGAATGTCTAGATGTGTATAACTGAGTCACTTGGCTGTGCAGCAGAGATGGGCACAACGTTGTAAGTCAGCTATACTTCAATTAAAAAATATAATAAAATTAAAAATATATATATATTTTATTCTGTTACCGTGATGATGAGAAAATGATCCACGTTGTCAAGAGCCAGAAGGGAATGTGGAAAGTAAAAACCTTTTAATTTGTTGCAGCATCGTAGGGGAATTATTTTTTGTCTCATTTTGATTTCTGCCAATGTTGAAGTATAAATAATAATTAAAAGCATATTGTGTGACTTGAACTTCACATAAACTAGGCTGTTCTGATTTCTTTCTTCATAGGCATTACTACAGCTGCCGTTTGTGTTTATCCTGCCCGGGTATGTGATGCAGTAAAAGCACTAAAGGCTGCAGGCTGTGATATCCCAGTGGCATCAGGTAAAATTTGTGGCTTCTGTTGTCGTTTAATCAACATGTTTCCAGTTCTTCAACTCAGACACTTTGGGGTAGTATCTCTGTAGTTTTATACTATGATTTTAATTAGTTTTATATATTTAATTGGTTGTATTTATCTATTATTTTCATATTTATTAATTGCCTGTTGAGTAGCAGACATTATATGTATCAATTCCTAAGAATATAGAACTGTGTCTCTGTCCTTAAAAGAAACTTAGCTGTTTAGGAGGAATAGTCAAGTTTAAAAAAAAAATTGTAACACAGGACATGTACTATTATTTATATGTAAAATATAACAAAGATATGCAGAAGGTACAGTTGTAACTCTGAGTGGGTGGTGATTTATTCTGCAGAGTGTGATGACACTCAGTGGGTAGGGGGACGCTTCATAGAGGAGATAGTAAGACCCCTGCATTGGGTCTTAAGCTTAAGGAAAAGTTGAGAGAGTTGATAAGCTAAGGAATGGCATTGCTCCCAATGCAGGGGGCTCAGGTTCGATCCCTGGTCAGGGAACTAGATCCCACATGCTGCAACACAAGGCAGCAAAGATCCGGTGCAGCCAAATAAATAAATATTAAAAGGAAAAAAGAGTTACTGACCTAAGACAGATGGAGTAGGAGAACGAGGCATGAGGGAGGGAAAAGTCTTACTAAAAGCTTCCCTGTATGTATCTACATATGAATAGATACATATAAAATTAGATTCTCCTTTTAAAAAGTATTAGAGGAATATCCTGGTGCTTTAAAGAAGGAAGCTAAGAAAATCATTATTTTATTAGGGATACATCAAAAGAAACAGACTATACAGTATTTATATACAACCTATTTGTGAAGATTCCCAGAGTATTTGGCAGCTAGCTACACCTTTATCAACCTTCATTTTTCATTAGCCTCAGTCAATTCAGCTTTTCCTTTATACAACAGGGAAACATGCTTTCCTCTAAGGTAACAGACCCAAGGGATTTAATAACATCAAGGAAACATGAAAGGTTATCTTTAGACACAGGAATGGAATTAATGATTAGCATGTTAAAAATGTTAATACTTTTTCCAAAGTGTCATTGTGTGTTTATTTTCCTTTTATTTATGCGTGGCCCTGCTCTTCCCAATTTACCCCTGCCCCAGTTTTGTGGACGAATTAGGTGCTTTTCCATCGTGCAACATCTCCCCTTTATTCTCATCTGCTTGGCTGTTCACTTTAAAATGGGCAGTGGGAGGAACCTATATTACAATTTGGTTACAACAGCTCTAAATGTGAATGAGTAAATCATGACAGTGATAGCCAACTTGGTCATGAGTAGGATCCAGAATTAACTAGTGTCCATCAAGACAGGGCTGTAGCTACTATCTTATGACTTTCACTTTGACGATGACATATCTTCTTTTTTTTTTTTTTGCGGTATGTGGGCCTCTCACTGTTGTGGCCTCTCCCGTTGCGGAGCACAGGCTCCGGATGCGCAGGCTCAGCGGCCATGGCTCACGGGCCTAGCCGCTCCGCAGCATGTGGGATCTTCCCGGACCGGGGAACGAACCCGTGTCCCCTGCATCGGCAGGCAGACTCCCAACCACTGCGCCACCAGGGAAGCCCTGACATATCTTCTTAATTGCTATTTACTTAAAGCACCCCCATGAGCATCTCTGCAGCAACTTAATTTCAGGTCTTTCAAAGGATATAATACTAATATTTATCCTAACGTCAGTACTATATAAAATTGCACTCAGTTTCTTTACACTTCACTTTGCAAGTTAGGCATGAAGTTCTGAAGTGTCATCCATGCTTTGGTCTAAACAGTAATTTTTTTGGTCTGAAATTCTTTGTTGAGATACTGACCGATTGAAATTTGTCTCCCTCCCTTCCTCCCTCACTACCTTCCTTCCTTTCTTTTTTTTTTTTTTTTTTCTTCTTTCTCTACTAGTGGCCACTGGCTTTCCAGCTGGGCAGACTCATTTAAAAACACGATTAGAAGAGATCAGATTGGCTGTGGAAGATGGAGCTTCAGAAATTGACGTGGTAATTAACAGGACCTTGGTGCTGACAGGCCAGTGGGAAGGTAAGTGCACACACATCCTTACCCAAAAGGGAGACTTGGTTCTTCCCTGGTCAGTCAGACGGCAAGGATCTGATAAGAGGCAGCATGGTGTGGAAGTCACTGTTCTAGATTACAAGTCCCTAGATCAGAGAGGGTGAATTGAGGAGAAAACTCGACCAAGATTGCTCATCCTGCCCACCTGCATGAACTTTTTAGATCCCTTTAGGTGATTAGTTATTTCCATGCAGTGGATTATTAACTTTTATTCTATTCTCTACTGTTTTGCTACTCAACACAAAAATCACTCCAGGCAAGTCTTTTATGCAGAGTTTATTTTAATATGATGCAGGAAGCTTCCCTTTTTTATGTTAATCTTTGTGGATTTGGAGGATGTGGGATTATTAATTAGTCTGCTAAGTCTGTTTTTACTCCTGTTCTTGAACGTAGCTCCTCTGGGTATTATTACATATTCACCTTCGAGATTCATGATTTACTATCATGTCAATTACAATAGGACATTTCCCATTCCAGTAAAAAGCTATTATTTTTTTGAAGGAATTGATTTTACCTCTGCCTTAAATGTATTTTGTATACTTAGAGATTGTTGATAGCTAAAATAAGTACAATTCTGTATTTCAAAAATATCATTGTAACAAGTAGTTTAAGTAAAAATTTTTAACACAGTCATAGGATTAAGCCAGAATAATGTGTTGTCTCTTTAGATATGTGAATATCAAATAATTGGTGTATTTTATTCTAATTACAAAGGTTATACCTTCTCACTGTTAAAAACAGAAGTTCTGACCAGTAATAAAGAAGTGGATGTTCTACATAATCTCATCCTCCACAAATAACCCTTGATAACACTGCAGTGCACAACTTTCCAAACTTTTTTCTCTTCATATACACACATGCAACTCCCATCCTTCTGTTAACTTTAAAATCAAAATTTTTAAAAAGTGAAAAAATTAAAATTAAAAATAGGATTATATTTAATGTATTTTTTTCTTAACCTACCTATTGGTCTTGCCAATATCTCATAGATATCTATGACTCTATCCATCAGTCCATCTGTCTCATCTTCTGTAAATTATAATTCCATTGTTTATCCATTAAGAATTGCTTTTGGTTATAGAGCAACAAAGATTCAGTCAGTGGTTTCAATGCTCAAGGATTTACTCTCTCACATAAAGTTGGGAAGTAGGTATTTCAGGGGTATTGTGAAATACAAAGTTCTTGGAGACCTGGACTACTTTTATCTTCCACTTCCAAAGAGTGTGGCTTCTGTCCTCATACTCAAGGACATTACATTGTCTGTGATGGCTTTTGAAGCTCCAGCTTTTACATTCATCTCCCAGACAACAGGAAATAGGGGCTTGTCCTGTCCCCAAATCTCACACACCGTCTTTGCTTACACCTCATTGGCCCTAAGTGAGTTCCATGGCCAGGCTTGGCTGCAAGTGAAGCTGGAAAAGGTAGTCTTTTGTCTTGGAATATTAGCTACATTCCCATGCATTCTTTTTTGTTTTTTTAAATTTATTTATTTTTGCCTGCTCTGGGTCTTTGTTGCTGCATGCGGGCTTTCTCTAGTTACTGCAAGCGGGGGCTACTCTTCATTGTCGTGCGCGAGCTTCTCACTGTGATGGCTTCTCTTGTTGCAGAGCATGGGCTCTAGGTGAGTGGGTTTCAGTAGTTGTGGCATGCAGGATCAGTAGTTGTGGCTCGTGGGCTCTAGAGCGCAGGCTCACTAGTTGTGGCACACGGGCTTAGTTGCTCTGCAGCATGTGGGATCTTCCCGGACCAGGGCTCAAACCCGTGTTCCCTGCATTGGCAGGCAGATTCTCGAACACTGTGCCTCCAGGGAAGTCCCCCCATACATTCTTAATATGTTAGATGGTGCACATTTCTGTGCCTTAATGGAAAGGAGTTGGCACGGAAAGAGAGTGGGCTGCGTGAGCCAAACAGGATGTGATCATAAAAAGCCTCACAGCAAAGGTTGAGGCAAAACAACAATAACAACAGTGTTTAAATAAAAAGATTTATGAAGTCAAAAGGCACAGCTGTCTGGACCGTGAGCTATGAGGCAGGTCATCTCAGAGATTCCAGTAGCCCCTGGGAGCATCCCTGTATTCAAGGAGAATCCAGTCACACAGCAATTCTGAAGGATCTAGGAAAAAAAATGTCAGGCCATTCCCATTGCCTGATACTCCCATCTGTACTTACCAACATTTTTTAAGCCTTGCCAGGTTTAAATTCTTGACAGTTCACAAATATCTTTTTGTGCTTTTGACTTTTGATCCTTTTCTTATAGTTCATATGTGCTTTGGGCAGTTGCAATCATTCTTAAATGGCTTATTTTAAGTAGATGTCCCTTGTCCCTGTATATTAATTCTGCTTGTCTGTTCCTTGTCATAGATTTCAGTTAAGAGTTAAGGCCTAGAGTAAGAAAGAAATGAGTAAGCATAATAACTTAAAACAAATCTAGAAATAAACTCTATGTCATTTAGTTGGATAAAAAAACTCTATGTCCTTTATCTCTTATTAAGTAGTTACAGATATAGAAGTATAGTTTATATTATAACTTGTGCTCTTGTCTCTAGAATACTACTAATTGGAAAATAAAATACAATAGGAGATGAGATTTGATGTAATTGCCTTTCCCTTAATGAACTAGGAGTGGTTGTTTTTAAGAACTGATAATTTCCCAATAACAGACATTCATGCAAAATATAATAACACATCTTTGTCCCAGACCATACTTTTCTATTAACTCATTTTATGGTGTTAATAACCTCTTGACCCAAAACAAATTGAAAAGGAACATTTAATACTAGAAATTTAATTCTAACTAGAAACCTGCAAATGTCTTAGGCCTTTTTTCACTGCAGTGTTTTATCTTAATTTCGGTTCTCAATTTGATTACGTATTGTATTTTTCGGTGTTGTGTTTTAATATTAGCTCTTTACTAAAATATGAGCCTAACATTGATTTCTTGGAATTTGCTGATGGAAGTGTCTGTAAGGCTGCTACACCTTCTAATCCAGGATCCTCTTCTCTGTGCACTGAGGTGTCTAGGACACTGGTTAAAGCACAAAAGAAAGAATCTTGTTTTCTAAACCTGGCCATTCAGAGAGTATCTTCACCATTTCTCATTGTCACAGGGTCCACAGTTTAGGGTATGAACTCAAAGGGGAGACTGGAGAGGGCTTGTATTCCTCTTCTTGGATTCTCCTTGACGACCATTTAAAATCTACTCCCTCACCCTTCTAACTTTTCCACCCACCTTGAGGCTCCTTAAGTACTGGCAGACAACCTACCTGCTGCTTCTCGGGAAACATGGAATCTGTTACGCAGGAACTTCTCAGTGTCCTTGCGTCAGATCTACTCCCCTTGCTGCTCCTCTTCTCCTTGCTCCTGAATCCAGTCCCTGGGCCGTGCTGTGGCGCCCACCTCCTCCCATAGTTTCACAGCCTTGGGCCTTTTTTTTTTTTTTTTTGCGGTACGCGGGCCTCTCACTGCTGTGGCCTCTCCCGTTGCGGAGCACAGGCTCCGGACGCGCAGGCTCAGCGGCCATGGCTCACGGGCCCAGCCGCTCCGCGGCATGTGGGATCTTCCCGGACCGGGGCACGAACCCGTGTCCCCTGCATCGGCAGGCGGACCCTCAACCATTGTGCCACCAGGGAAACCCCCTTGGTCCTTTTATGGGCCATTTTTTTCTCCTGTAGCCTCCAACTCTCTCTACTAGCTCATCCCATCAACATCCAAGCATACATCCAAACATTCTATTTTTTTTTAAAATAAATTTATTTATTTATTTTTGGCTGTGTTGGGTCTTTGGTGCTGTGCACGGGCTTTCTCTAGTTGCGGCGAGTGGGGGCTACTCTTCGTTGTAGTGCGCGGGCTTCTCATTGTGGTGGCTTCTCTTGTTGCGGAGCACGGGCTCTAGGCACGCGGGCTCAGTAGCTGCGGCTTGCCGGCTCTAGAGCGCAGGCTCAGTAGTTGTGGCGCACGGGCTTAGTTACTCCGCGGCACGTGGGATCTTCCCGGTCCAGGGCTTGAACCCATGTACCCTGCATTGGCAGGCGGATTCTTAACCACTGCGCCACCAGGGAAGTCCCCATCCAAACATTCTTATCCAGTAAAAAAAAAAAAAAAAAGCCTACATGTCACCATTCCTCCTCATCCCCAGCTGAGTCTCCCTTTCCATTCTCCCCTTTGTGGCTGAAATTCTTAAAAGAGTCGTATGTACTTGTTTCTCTTGAATCTGTTCTTTCCAAGATAACAATGCCCTGTTATTTTGCTATGCCCGGGAGATACTCTTCAGTCGTTTAGCTTTGTCCTGCAGCAGCAGCTGACACAATGGACCGTTTCCTCCTGGAAACACTCTCTTGTCACGGCTTTGGTGACCCTGCTTTCTTCAGGTTTTCCTCCGTGTTTCTGAATACTGCTGCATCCTGTTTGCAAGCTCCTCCGCTTCTTCTGTCATCATTGAAGTGTCGGGGGTCCTCAAGTTCTGTCCCAGCAAACTCTCAAACTTCTCAGACTCTGCACACTCTCCCTTGGAAACCTCCTATCCTCACTGATTTCGGCTGTTCCCTGTGCTGAGGACCAAACCTCCAGAGCACAGAACCCGCATCTCTCTGACTCTGGAACCCGTGTTCCATTTCCCCACTAAAATGATTCCCCATGAAACGATGCTTTTCATCGATTAGTTTCACATAAGCAGACATTCAGATTCAGTGAATCTTGACCAAAGCAGAGAATCTAGCTACTTTAGAAAGAAATTCATTAAAAAATATTTACATTTCCCTGACTTTATTTACACTTTCTATTAAATACAGTTTTTTCTAGATCATTCAGAACTATTGTATCAGTGATTATAGGTACCTCATTTTATTTCACTTCTCTCTGTTGCACGCCACAGATTTTTGCAAGTTGAAGGTTCGGGGTAACCTCGTGTCGAGCAAGTCTGTAGGCACCATTTTTCTAACAGCATTTGTTCACTTCATGTCTCTGTGTCA